GTGCAGCTCTGGCAGCGACGCTTACCTGGAGCAGGCGTTCCAGCTGCGGGGTCCGGACGCCGCAGCATCGCCGGCCTCCTCCGCAGCGACTGGCACCGGGTCCCTGGTCAGCACCCTCTGGCGTGCCACAAGGCTCCGCGGCAGCGGGAGTGAGTCCGTGGGGATGGCCTGGACCATGCAGTGCTTCGTGCACCCTGCAGACCTCTCCACAGAGCGGCCACTTGCAAGTTGGATTTGCACCCATCCCCATCCCCGCAGCCAGCCTCACGCTCCCAACCACTCAAATCAGCTCGATACCCCTCTCCCACCCGCAGGCTCCTCCAGTGACGCAGGCACCGCCCCCTCCTCCCTGGCCATGCAAGTGCACATGGTGGTCGAGTTCTGCGACCACGGCACACTGGAGGCCGCGGTGCAGAGCGGCATCTTCCTGGACCCCGCCCTCGGCCGCCCGCAGATGGTGCGGGATTTGTTTTGGGGTGGGGCCCGGAGGGAGGGGCGAGGGTCATGTCGTGTTGGGATGATGAGCATACCTGGGGCGGTGCCGAGGGTGTGCAACTCGGCCCTGCTTACCAGCCTCCTCAGCAGAGTCAGTTCCCCCCCATTCTCCTCCACGCCCACCTCGACGGCAGGACTGGGTGCTGCAGACGGTGCTGGAGGTGGCTTCAGGGCTGGAGTACCTGCACGCCCCCGGGCGCCGAGTCGTGCACCGCGACCTCTCCGCCGGCAACGTGCTCCTGGCGTCGGCGCGGCGCGGGGGCGGCGACGCCGCGCCGGGTCCCGCCGGCATGCGCCCGGCGAGCACGCGCCCCTTCCGCGCCGTCATCTCCGACTTTGGGCTGAGCATGATGCTGAGTGCCGCGGCCACCCACCGCACCTCCCACATGAAGGGCACCGTGGCGTACATGAGCCCCGAGGTGTTCAGGACCAGCGATGTTACACCGGCCCTGGACATCTACTCCCTTGGCATCATCAGTGAGGGGCTGGTGGAGACAGGGGGGGGAGGGGGAAAGGGGTTTCTGCTTCTGATGTTCCAAGGGGGCATGGGATGTCAGAGGAATGAGCAACCATCGGGGCCAGGCTGTGCAGATGGCTCGCCCCCCTCCAGGCCTGCATGCGTGTGCACCTCTTGGTGCCGACGGAAGTGCGCCGTCCCAGCCACACCTCACCCCACCCCCGCCCTCCCCCACGCAGTGTACTATGTATACATGGGCTCGCTGCCCTACCCAGACAGGAACCCAGGACAGGTGGGGCTGGTGGCAGGGCCCTGGTCGGCGTGGCAGGGCGGCTGCACACGATGGGATGACGAGGCGGAGTCGCCGCCAGGCCCTGGTGAGACTGCCCATTCCCCCGACTGCCTGAACTGCTGACCATGCGCGCCCCCCTCCCGGCCCCAGGTGATTGTGGAGAAGATGCGTGAGGTCGAGTGCGGCGCGGAGGAGCGCTTCGACATCCCGCGTGACTGCCCCGCCTTCTACCGCCAACTGATCCTGGACTGCACCCACCCGCAGCGCCGCGAAAGGTGCGGCGCAGGGAGGCCGGGCCCGGACATGCTTGCAGATGGCATCCAGGCCCCCGACGCGGTGCCAGGCTGCCCAGGGCACCCCGGCAGGGTCTTTGCCCTGCACAAAGGCCGCTGCAGCGCTGCCCAACCAGCCACTCAGCGGTCCACACTGCCCTGACTCGATTCGCAGGCCGAATGCTGGCGAGCTGGTACGGCGCCTGAGCATCCTCCTTGCCTGAGGGCCCTCTGGCTCGACAGCCTGAGGCCCTCTGATCAGCCCTGACATGATATGAGAGGTTGAAGATTGAATCTGCATGCAGAATCTTGCTTTCGTTCAGCGAGCTGTCGCTCCCCATTTAATGAGGTCACCCACTCCCACACGTTTCGAAAACCCCGACACGGGAGGGGAATCGGGGTACGGTGCAGCATGGAGCCTGCCTCTCCCCGCGTCTGGAGCCTGGCGAACGCAACACCAAGCATGCGGTGCGAGGTCAGAAACATGAAGAGAAATGTGTGGTTCATGCGATCACTCCCCCCTCCATGCTGTCGATAATGGAGCAGGGGCCCCGGTGACACCACCCACCCGTTGTAGCTAGCCGGGCGCACCGGCCACCTTGCACCGGCGCTGGATGAGGAGTCATGTCTGACGATGGGATAGGGAAGGATGATGGGACATCCTCCTGGTGAGAGGCGCGATGGTGGGCGTGCACAGGGTCTCGGCACCCTTGGCTGCCACTGCACTCGTCCCGACAACGCCACCCCCCACCCCCCCGGGCCCCAGGATCCTGCGCCGGAAGCCGGCCTCACACGGGCCCCCTCAACCCCTTTCTGCCGCCGATGCACGCCGGGCCGCACGACTCGAGGCGGAGGGCGACAATCGGCCTCGCGTCGTGGCCTACTCCGACTCTGACTCGGACGTGGAGAGCCACATACGGCGCGTCAAGGACCACCTCCTGGGCGGGGAGGAGGCCCCTCCCGAGGAGGATCCTGCAGACGGAATGCTAGCTGGCTCCTCCACGGCCATGGAGCGTGGCACGTCCACGGCGGCAGCCCCCTCCTCAGCCGCCTCGGCCCTGGCGGCCTCGGCGGCCGGCGGTGGGGGGCGCGGCATGCCCCCCGCCACCAGGCACCTGCTCCCCTCGGATACCCTGCACCCGGGGCTGCTGGCCCTGGTCACGGGGCTGGCGGTGCTGCACCGCCTGAACCCCGGCCTGGGCGAAATTGTGGAGGCGACGGCCGTCGCAGTCCCCCTGAGCATCCGCCTCCTCGGTCCCAAGGCAGGGCGGAGGGATGGCTGTGTCGGGGCAGGGGAGGGGAGGGGATTACGTGCACGAGCCTGTGGCGGGGCATCGCAGCGCCCTTGGCGGCGCACCCACCTGCCTGGGCCCTGATTCCCAGGCCTGTCCGCCCATGTTCATGCGCCAGGTCGATGCCGAGGACCGCCCACACCCACGAACGCCCATGCATGCACCGCAGGACCCCGCCGCGGCCCCCCTGGGGCTCCCCCTGCGCCACATGAGGCATGCGCTGCACGCTGTGGGCGTGGTGTGGACGCTGCGCTTTGCACGCCGGGCCCTGCGCGCCACGCGAGAGGCCCGCCTGCACCGGCGGCTCAGGGCCAGTGCCAGCGGTGAGCGCAGAGTCAGTGGGTTGCCGTGTGTCCAGTTTGAGGGCGGGGGGGGGAGACGAGCATGGAGGGGCTCGGAAAAGGGGGTTGTGGCCTGACCCGGAAGCCACCGGACCCTGCGGGCCATCTACGACGCCCAGCAGGCCACCCACGACTGGTGACTTTCCCCAGCACGTTGCCGCCCGGCTCCAATCCCCCACCCGCCCCCTCTTCCTCCCACCGCAGTCCAAGCGCTGGAGAGGCCCGCCACCCCGCGGCGAGGCGTGTCGCCCGAGAGCCCCGGCGATGACGCGCCCCACGACGAGGAGTGGGTGGTGTCTCTGCGGCACGAGGCACGGGAAATGCGGCGCATGCTGGCCGAGAACGATGTGGACCTGGCGGGGACGCGGTTCGAGGCCAGCGACGCAGAGCTGCTGCGCTACGCGGCCGCCTGCGGCCTGCGCGAGGTGAGGGCCGGGAGAGGGGACATGGATTCTTTGCATGGGGGCCACGGAGGGGCACGGGAGCTGTGCAGCCCCTGCTGTCCCTGCTCCCCAGCATGTGAGCTGCCTTGTTGGGAAGGATGTATTCAGCGGAGCCCACGGTCTCCTGTCATTCCGGGTGGCAGCTGCATGACCCTGCACAGTCAAGACTGCCGCCTGATGGATCTGTGACGGGGTCACACGGGTCGTACTCGAGCTGCCTGGGGCCCTCTGGCCTCCCCTCAACCCAAGAATGTGAATGCCTCAGGCCGCCGTCGCGACACGGCCCTGTGCAAAGCCTCCACTGCCAACCTCGCCCTCTTCCCCCCTCCCCCTTTCAATACGCAGGCGCAGCCCGCGGCCCTGCGCGCCCGGGCGGTGGACGCGGCGGTGGGTCGGGTGGTGAAGACCCTGGACTGGCAGGCGCGCCAGCGCTTCACCCCCCTGCCCCGCCTGCGACGCTGGAAGCGGCTGGTGGACTGGCAGGGCGCCGACGGCGGCGAGCGGCCCATCCTCCTCGTCCGGGCGGGGCGCGCGCTGCAGCTGCTGCGCCCGCGCCGCCACGCCGAGTTCTGCGATGTCGTGCTGAGCCGCGTGGCGGACGGCGCAGGCGGGGTGCTGGCTCGCGCCGACCGGGTGTCGGTGGTCGTGGACTGCCGCGGCGCGCGCGGGCTGCGGGCCGCCTGGTGCCTCCCCTTGGTCAAGAACCTGGCCACCCAGCTGCACCAGCACTTTCCTGTGAGCCGGTGTTGTATTTTTGGGGGGAAGGGGAAGGGCATCACGAGGGGGAATGGGTTGGGAAGGGAGGGTGGTGAGGTAAGGATGCAAAGTCCAAGTGTGTGCAAACAGGATCGGAGGCTGCGATGCCCAGGAGGGGCCAGACCACGGACCCCTTGGCCCTGCACCGCGATTCAAGAATGAGCGGCATCGACTTCAGGGATTGCCCTTCAAAACCTCCACCACTTCATACCCCCGCTGCTCTACACTTTCGCCACTCCCAATATCCCAGGAACGACTGCACCGCCTGTTCCTGCTGGAGGTGCCACTGCTGGCACGGTGGGGTCTGCGCGGGTTAATTGCGGGCCTGCCTCCCGCCACGCGGGCAAGGGTGCGCCAGGTCAGCATAGACAACCCTGCCATGCCGGTGACGGTGGCCTACCTGAGCAAGAGGTGCGGTGGAAGGGAGAGGGGAGGTGGCGCAGGTGGCTGGGGCGTTCGTGCAGGGAGGGGAAAGGGGTTATTACCGTGTAGATCCATGGGCTGGGTCAGGGTCCGCAATGCAGTGTTGTATCGACGCCGAGTGCAGCGTCGCCCCCAGGTGGGAGGGGCCTCTTGTTCCGTACCTTTCCTGTACACACAAGGTCCTCTCCCATCTCCAATCCCCTCCCAGGCGGTCGGACGTGCGGGAGCTGGGCATGCGACGCAGCAGCAGCGACCTGAACCTCCCCCCGCCCACCACGCCCAGCGCCGGCGGCACGCCCCTGGCCTCCCCCACCTCCCTCGCCCTCGACTTCCAGCGCACTGACAGCGAGCGGGAGCGGGAGCGCGCGCGCGGTGAGGGCGGGGAGACCTCCGACGAATACCTCACGCCCGACGCCTCCATGGTCGAGGTGTTTGCCTCGCCGCCAGACGGGCCGGGCAGCGCCCTGCTGACAAACGGGCCCCGGCCGGAGCCCAGCGCCCTGGCCGTCGCGCGCGCGGCCGCGGCCTGCACCCCGCCTCAGGTCTGGCGCGGGCTGGGCGGCATGCTGCAGGCGCTGGCGGGCCCCGGCAGGGGCCGGGCGACGGGCGGGCGGCGGGCCGCGCCCTTTGACCCGGGGCGCCGCTCGCCGCTGAGCCGCTCGGCGGGCCCCTGCGACGGCTTCGAGGCGGGCCAGGGCGGCGGCGGGGAGGCCAGCTGTAGCGACGGGGAGGACGATGCACTCGGTGGCGGTGAGGCGACGGTCGGCGCTGCAGGCCCTGGGCAGCTGCTGGAGGTGCGGGGGGGCCTTGCCCCCTTGCCGCGACGCGGGGGTGCTGCGGCGCGGCGCCTCGCGCTGAGCCCCCGGCCCGGCCCCGACTCCGGCGGCGCGCCGCCGGAGCCGGGGCCGAGGGCGATCCTGACGCGGGTGAGCGCGGACGCCGGCACGCCGCCGCGGTCGGTGTTGCGCCGCATCGGCAGCGACCCGGGCTTGCTCAGGCGCCAGCGTGGCGGGGCCGAGGGCGCCGAGGGCAGGCTCGACTCCTACCCCCTGCGCCTTATCTCCTCGGGTGAGCGGGGTGGCGGTGGGGAAATGGTGATGTGGGGGTCTGGGGCCTGATCAGAGGGAATCAGGAATGCCACGTGCCAGAGCCTGCAGCATCAGAATGCGGTGCGGCTCCCCGGTTGCTTGTGCCGGCTCACCTCCCCTCATCTACCGATTCGAACATTCTGCCGCCTGCACGCCCCGCGCAGTGTCCTGGGCGGAGGAGCTGGAGCATGTGCGGGAGGTGATGGGCCTGCCGGCGAGCGAGGCGGGGGAGACCGCAGGCGCGCAGCAAGCCGGGCAGCGGCAGGTCACCTCCTTCCTCCTCCTCACACTGGTGGCCTCCTTCCTGCAGCGAGTGCTGGCGCCTGCCTGAGGGGGAGCCTGCGTGCCCCTTGCCGTGCCCGAGTGTGATGAGAGAAGAGCTGACGATCGATAATGGACGCGATTGAGGGGTGGCTTGCATGCTGATACAGGAACGCGGCAGGGTGGAAAGCGGGGGACGACTCGACACTGTTTTCAACTCGCTGGCCATGGGGCAGTCGAGATCACTTCCTCTGTCCCTCGACAGTGTGCGGGGGATTACGCTCCGGCCTCCCAGTCAGCCTTTCCCATTCACCAAACCCTCGCACACAATGGCGGATCAAGAGGGCGGCGGCACGGCCAAGTCCGGCTGGTCGCTGGGCGGCCTGCTCAACTATGCCACCCAGACTGTCAACAGGTGTGTGTGCGGGTTGCTCCTCGGTCCACAAAGGCTGCCGGTTGTGTCATGCCGATCCTAGCTTGTTCGTCTGGGTGACGAGGAGGCTGCTTGCCCCTGCGGAGGTGTCTGAGCCCCCTGAGAGTCCGCTACCTCTGACCTCCCGGCCCACAAGCGCTCTCGCCATCTACCCCTTCTGCACAGCGTGATGGGCTACGACGAGCTCTCTGTGGTTGATCCCAACAGCCAGTCGGCCGGCTCTGGCAAGGACGTGCATGCCACCACCAAACTGGAGGAGGTAGGATGAAGGCGGTCAAGAGCAGGGTTGGGGGATTGGGGCTATTTGCATTGGCAGGGGCATGGCCTGCAGAGATCTATCCAGGCCGGTGTGAGTGAGGTGTATGCTCACGATCTGCGGCATGCCCATGACCCCACTGCGACGCATCCCCTGTCCGGGAGTGCATGCCAGCAAGCACTCCCCTCGCAGGAGGGGCGCTCTGACTGCGCCGGCCCCTTCAGCCTCCACCCTGCGCTGCACCGCCTCACAGGACCGCAAGCAAGCCTTTAAGTCGTACAAGGACTACCTGGGGAAGGACATCACCAGCCTGGTCATCCTGCCGGTCTGGATCATGCAGCCCTTCACCATGCTCCAGAACATGGCCGAGATCATGGAGTACACCGAGGCCCTTGACAAGGCAGCCGTCACCGAGGACCCCTACGAGAGGTGTGCCTGGGTGTGCAGGGAAGATATGCCTCATCCTAGACTTTGCAAGCGTGACGTTGCACCAACGTACGATACGCCAGCACTGTAACCCCCACCCCCCATCCCCCAAAGGCTGGCCTGGGTGGTGGGCTACACCATGGGTCCCTTCGGAGCCATCGAGCGCCCCTGGAAGCCCTTCAACCCCATCCTGGGCGAGACCTTTGAGTACCACAAGCCCAGCACCGGGATCAAGTACCTTGTGGAGCAGGTGTGTAGGATGCTCTGGTCAGAGTGGGAGTCGGGGGTTTCCTCAGCACCCCAGCATGCCAGCGGCCCCAGCGCCCTTTACGTGCATCGCTGACCTATCAGCGCCCTCATGTTTAAACACATACCCAGTTTCTCTCGACGAATCTCACCCCTGCTCGCCTGCCGCCAGGTGTCGCACCATCCCCCCATCGGTGCTGGCCACGCGGAGTCCCCCCTCTGGACCTACGACCTGGTCTCCGCCCCCAAGACCAAGTTCCTGGGCAACTCGGTGGAGGTCTACCCCATCGGCCGCACCCGCATCCGGCTGAAGACCACCGACGAGGTCTTCTCGTTGGTGCCCCCCACCTCCAAGGCCAACAATGTCATCCTGGGGTCCACCTGGGTCGACACCTACGGCGACTACAAGCTGCTCAACGTGACCACCGGCGCCAGGGCGCACATGGTCTACAAGGAGTGCGGCTGGTTTGGGTCGGGGCGATACGAGGCGAGTGCAGTGGATGGCTGGGGACGGGTACTGGTTGTCTAGTGGATCCTGGGGCTCAGCCTGTGCTACCTTGATACAAGGGGTAGGAGAGAACAATGGAGCCACAAGCAGATGTCTGCACAGGTCCCTGGGGTTCGCCACGCCTGCGTGGACAGGGTGGGCTCTGATGATTGCACTCGCCGGCCAGCGAGTCGGAAGCCACAGGCAAATTTGTGCTGTCCGTCTCAGGATCCCAGCACCGTGCTGTCTCCCACACACATAGTGTCACCCCCTACCCAACTGGCCTAACCCCCCATGACACAGATCGACGGCTACATTTACCGAGAGGACGGCACCAAAGCCTACATCCTGGAGGGGAAGTGGAACGAGTACCTGGATGCGGCCCGCTGCGACGAGGCGGGGGAGATGCTGCCCGACGCTGAGATCCTTCACCTCTGGAAGGTGGGGGCCCAAAGGGGTGCGGGAAGGCAGATTGTGCGTGCTTTGGAAGCCCGCTGCTTGGCAGTCGGGTGGCGAGAAGCGATGGCGGGTCGAAACCTTGGTACCAGCCGGTCCCACGGCCTTGGGGGCGCAGGCCATTCAAATCTGCAACGAGGCCACCCCGCCGCTCCTCAACCCCCAAATCACACTTGCCCCCTCCCCTGGGTCCTGCCAATCTCCAGTGCAAGGACAAGCCCGAGAACGACCCCTACGCCTTCACTCACTTTGCACATGAGCTGAATTCGGCCAACGGCCTGTCCCCCTTGCCCTCGGATTCCCGCAGACGGTGGGTGATGGGGTTGCTTTTTGTGGACAGGCGTGGTTCAGGGCCATGCGGAAGGGCCGTCGTGGTGGCGTCGGTCCAGGCCGTCGGTGCTTGCACAGACTTGTGCATGTGTCCCCATCGCTCCACCCACTCAACGTGCTTCCTTTGGCAGCCTGCCGTGTCCTCTACGAGCCACTCGAGTCTGCTGTGTGCCACATGCCACGCCACCCCCGCCTTCCCTGTGCCCATTCCAATGCCTGCCAAGGCTGACCCCTTTTTACACCCCCGCTTGATTGCCACACCAACATCACCTCCCATCCCCCGCCTCGCAGTCCCGACCGCGCGCTGCTGGAGGCGGGGCAGTCCTCGGAGGCAGCGGTGGCCAAGTACAACCTGGAGGAGATGCAGAGGAAGGAGCGGCGCGAGCGCGAGGAGCGCGGCGAGGTCTGGGCGCCGCGCTGGTTCCGGCCGCTGGGGCCGGACGCCGAGGTGCTGCAGGATGAGTACGACAACGAGCAGTGCGCGCAGTACGAGTTCACGGGGGACCTTGCCGCGCTGGAGGGGCCCAGGACGCCGGAGGAGGTGCCGGAAGGTGGGCCCGGGTGGTGGGGTTGAGTCGGGGAGGGGGTGGGGCAGCAGGCTCCTAGGGGAGGGTGGGGGCCTGGACCATGTGGCACCATGGGGTATGGGGGGTGGGCACTCCGCTTCGACACCTCATCGTGCACCTTTCTTCCCCTCCAAACCCGCCCAGCCCATGCCCCCTTCCGACGCACACACACAGACTCTGTCTGCGGCAAGGGGTTCGTGCCCTGGACCTACCCCGAGATCCACGACAACCTGGGCAAGGAGGCGGAGCGGCAGTGATGCTGGATGGCAGGGTGTGCCAGGCCCATTCTCGGTCCACCCCTTGGGTCCATTCTTGGCCCTCCCCTCCAGTCACCCCCAGTGGCTTGGCGCACCTTGCAAAATCTGTAACATTGTATGCATCCAACATGGGCATGGCTGAGGAGGTAGCAAGGGCTTCAAGGGGGGCACGTCTCATATACATGTGGGGAACAGTTTGGTACAGGCCGGATGATGTCTCAACCGGGGTCCCTGAATGACTATGGACAGAAGATAATGGATCCTTCCTGGCCTGAAACTCCTGGGTTGTTATTGCTGGCTCTCTCTCTCAGTAACATGTGCTCGCAGGGCATCCAGATTCTCCCAGTGGCCCAGGTGGTCGTCCCATGCTATGTTGTGCTTGCCCTCCGACATGGGGTGCAATGCCATGGCCCTCAGGAATGCGGCATCCGCAAGGGCCGCCAATCGCCGAGCTTCGGATCGATTGGGGATTAGACCGGGGTGGGTGCGGGCCAGGGAGGGATTCTTGGGAACCTGGGGGCCCTGGCTCAGGTTCGCGGTGGGTCGCGCTCTGCAGTTAAGTCTGGCCTGGATCGTCATGCTGTCTCACTCACTCTTTCGTCTCTCAAGAAGGGGGGAGGCCTGAGTATTTCAAGGCATCAACTTTAATGGCGCACAACACTGTTCAAATCAGCCGGGCGTGCGTGTAATGACGCCTGGCGCGTGTGACAGTGATCCGAAAGTGTCGGAGATCAGAAGCTCACGTGGGTTCCGCCATCCCACCAGCTTCACTTTGAAAACTTCTGAGCCCTCGCGGTCTGCCTCTCCCTCTTCTCTCGTCGCCGCTTATCTGCCTCGGACTCGAACGATGTCTGCAGGATGGGAGGATGGTATGGAGTGGATTGTGGCCTGGTGTTGCATGCACCTCATTGCTAGTCCCAGCATGTATGGACCCCTCACCGTGTCGGCACGAGGTGCGCTCCAGTAAGGCAGCAGCACATGGATCACAAGCAGGTACGCACAGTACGCAGGCACCTGTCGATCAGAGGGACGGAGATGGGGGAGAATCGTCATGGCAGATGCAGAGAGAGTACGCAGACTGCACCTCATGAGCAGCCGAGCACTTCCAACGTCTATAAATGCAAAGATAGTACATCATCTTACCGCAATAAAGGCCAGCCATGCCCACTTGCTGATCATGCTTCCAAGCTGCACAAAGGCTGTGATGTAGAGCAGGTCATGGTAGTAGGAGAGCACTCCCCCCTGTGCCAGGTCAGCTCCGGCATACACCAGTTCGCCACTTGGGCTGTAGTGGGGTGCTGCGAGTGGGGGGTTGTAGTCCGGCTTGCGGCATGGTCTCGTCAGCTTACCATATAGTACGAAGAGAGGTTCTCAGTACACCTGGTCCAGCCGCTGAACGGCATTCCAACCACAAGTGCCTCACCCAAGGCAGTCGCGATTCCAGGGTAACAAATGGCATAGACCAGGGAGGTGAGGCCCAGGGCTGCGTAGCTGGTCCAGGTGACGGTGCTCCTGCGAAGGAGGAAGCGCACCACCAGCCATGCCACCTGCAGCGACAGGTGGTCAGACCAGAGGTATGGAATCCTCCAAGGACCACGAGGGGGGATCACACCTCTTTTAGAATGGCATGATGGCATCGTCTTACGTTTGCCACAATGACGATGATCTTGAGTTTGCGTATGTGATCGGCATTCTGCTCCAAGCGCTTCTTGTCCCCGGCCTTGGCCATCGCCCGTGAGCAGGTGGGTCTCCCTGGATGTGATACGTTCGATGCACTTGGGAGCTGTCTTTTACAGTGAATGAATGGAGATCATTCACCCGCAGGAGGCTTTGGGACTCGGAGACGCTCGGGAACTCGTTCGTCGCAACAGGGTCGCGCCCGGGCGCCCGCGCGCAGCATACAGGAGAGGAGCAGCGATCCAAGCATACACCTGCACGAGTAAACACTAGACTGCGAGCCTGTGTGAATGCACTTCCTGTGCATATTTCGTCCTTTATTGAAGCCATGGCGGTGTGCCGGCGGGCATCGCAGGGTCTCCTGCGACACCACCTGTGAGTGCGGGCCTGCAGGGTGTCAGCGGCACGACCAGCCCCTCACGACGACCTGGTCGGGCAAGGATCCGTACTGGATTGAATAGTTGTGCACAGTATTGCTCTTGTACTGCCCCACACTGCCCCCCTCCCCCCCTACTCACCACCACAGCAAGACGGCCCTGGACTGCTGGCAGGCATACCGGGCCAACCCCCCCGTCCTGACCCGCGCCACCTCCAGCCTGCCCGGCACCCCCCACCTGACCCCTGCCATCCAGGGCCGGCTGGACGAGATCGCGGCCCGGCACGCCGCGTTGGTGCGCGATTCTCTGGCGCCCTCCTTTTCGCGGCTGCCGCCCCAGGAGATGGCGCGCCTGGCCCGCGACATCGCGGAGCTGGAGCCCGTGGTGGAGGCCGCGGCGCGTCTGGCGCGCCGCCGCGCGGAGCTGGAGGAGGTGGCCGCCATGGCCCGCGACCCGGGCGAGGAGGAGGACCTGCGCGCCGCGGCCGCGGCCGAGCGCGACGAGCTGGCGGCCGCGCTGCCCGCGCTGGAGTCGGCGGTGCTCCTGTCCCTGGTCCCGCCCGACGCCGCCGACGGGCGCGGCGTGGTGCTGGAGGTTCGCGCCGGCACCGGCGGCGACGAGGCCTGCCTCTTCGCCGCCGACCTGTTCGGCATGTACGCCGCGCACGCCGCGGCGCGCGGCTGGCGCTGGGAGGTGCTGGAGCACGCGCGCGGCGAGGCGGGCGGCGTCCGCGCCGCCTCAGCCGCCGTCTCCGCGCCCCCCGGCGCGCCCGGGGTCTACGGCCGCCTGAAGCACGAGTCGGGCGTGCACCGCGTGCAGCGCGTGCCCGCAACCGAGGCCTCGGGCCGCGTGCACACCAGCGCCGCCAGCGTGGCGGTGCTGCCCCAGGCCGCCGCGGTGGAGGTGGACCTGCGCGAGGAGGACCTGCGCGTGGACGTCTTCCGCGCCAGCGGCGCGGGCGGGCAGCACGTCAACACCACCAACAGCGCCGTGCGCGTGACGCACCTGCCCACGGGCTTGGCGGTGGCCATCCAGGACGAGCGCAGCCAGCACAAGAACCGGGCCAAGGCGCTGCAGGTGCTGCGCGCGCGGCTGTACGACAGCCGGCGCCGGGAGGCGGAGCAGGCGCACGCCGCGGACAGGAAGGCCCAGGTCGGGTCGGGGGACCGGTCGGAGCGCATCCGCACCTACAACTTCCAGCAGGCGAGGCGTGAGGG